CGCTCCTCTGTCTTGTTCTTCAAGGTCCAGCTATCCTGCTCTCAGCCTCTTACATCTCTCACACTTTTCACACCTACTTTCTCAGCATCACAAATCTCTCTCTCTGCCTCCTTCTCCTTTTCGTGCCATTTTTGGTCCACCACCAATCCCCCATTAGGTCTCAATGTCTCCTTTCCTATATTGTTTATAAGCAGTTCTCTATCATTTTTCTAACGTAAAGAGAGCAAAGAACACTCTCCCACCTGTTACCCTCTTATGAGTGCCTCGGCTCTCTCCCCACACCATCCCCTGTGCTCTCGGCACAGTGCTCTCTCCCAAATGAGCTCTGGGCCCCTCAAGCCCTGATTCTCTTTGTTCTTGTCTCCACCTTGTATCTCTCCTCTCTCTCTCTCTCTCTCTCTCTCTCCTTCCCCCCCATCTTTTTTCATCATTCTCTCTGCTTTCTAGTTTACCTGTTCTCTGGACCGTTCTTATCTCTAAGGGCCAGTGCTGATTCTAGAAAGGGGAGGGGAGCAGGAAGATTGGCAAAAGAAAGGAAGAAAAATGAGAATTCATGAATTTTAAGAACAGATATTACTGTAATTAACCTACTTTTTCTTTCTTTCTTTTTTTTTTTTCTTTTTTGTTACCGGGGATGGAACTCAGGTCCTTGCCCTTGCAAGGCAGGCCACGGAACCGCTGAGCTAAATCCCTGGCCAACCTACTTTTTCTATGATAAGGAATAATAACCAGGCTAGTGTCGAGGCCAGTAAATGGCAAAGGTGAAAATTCAAAACAGGCTGAGTTTTTTATCTTGTATTCTATATAGCAGCAAAGAGACATGAAAAGAAAAGGAGATAAATATAACGGTCCCACCCCCCAAAAAAGCCCGTGTTTCTGATTTCTATTGTATTGTGGCAAGGGACCAAATCTAGTAACTGAGCCCCCCATCTGTCTACCTCGGAGAAGCAGACTCACCCTGTACCAGAACGTTTCAAACAATCCATTTCTGTCTTCTCACCCCACTGACAACAAGTCTCCATTAGCTCTAGCTGTGGCTGGCTCCGAGAGGCCAAGCAATTGGCCTAAGCACACAGGAAGCCAGCCAAGGAAAGTGAGAGTAGAAACCACTCTCAAGACTTTGCTCCAGATGAAGACACAAATCTATCAAAAGGAAAGAAAACCCAGGGAAACAGAGACTTATCACTTGCTTTGTTGCTGCAGTCTCTGCCCTCATCTCGCAGGCACAAACTGGAGGTAAGACTGGGCTGCCTCTCTCATCATAGACCCGTGTAAGGACCCCACATCTCAAGAACCGATGTGGTTCACAGCATCAGGATCTCTCTGTCCCCAAGTCTCATGTCCTGGTTCATCTTTGAGAGCAGCACTTGGGACTGCAGGAGGCTGGCCTGGGGACAACCTGCTTGGTGCTCACCCTGTTCAGACCTTATTTTGTTGTACAGCCTCTGCTCAGATGCTTCTCTTCTCTGCCCTTTGGCAAAATGAGAGCATTGTACTAGTGGTTATCAAATCAAGGTTCAAGTAGGCTTTGACTAGTAAGATGGGTGCTAAGGGATGGGGTAAGGGTGGTTAGAGTGACTTTCCAGCTCCTGCAGAAATTTAAATTGACAAAAAGGTTTGAGAACTTAACAAAGATTGAAAGTGTATACAGTAGAACCTCAGTACTCATTAATTCATTCTGGGAAGTGAAATGAATACCAAAAATAATGGGTACCAAACAAATTATTTGGCTGGAAATTATAGCAAACAAACAGCACCAACAAGTTCTAGCTTGAGCATGGAGTATCAAACAAACTGGGTGCCCAACAAAATTTTCACCAAATTCAAAATGAACCAAGTATCAAATTTGACAAGTCTTAAAGCAATTAAGTACCGAAGTAGGACAGTATGTCTCAAATAGTAAGATTTCATACTTCATGGGGAGCTGGTCACCAAGTCCAACAAGCATTATTTCCATTTCCATTCTCAGGGAGTGCCCAGGCTAGGCAGAGAGAGAGAGAGAGAGAGAGAGCTTGCCCTCACCGTGCATCCCTCCCTTCCTGTTTCAACCTTGAAAGTCCTCCTTGGAAGATGTTTATCCATAGTCCATAAGAGTCACGTGGGGAGAGGTAGGATTGTGGGCTCTGGTGCTCTTTGTTCTATCTCTACAGCCTCCACCTCCTGGTCCCAAATCTAGGCACAAGCAGAAAGTGTTGACTGCTTGTCCTAGAAGCACCACTGCAGATCATCCACCACCCTAGTTTTACAGGTGAGATCACAAGGGCCAAGGAAGTTAGATGACTTGCCCAAAGTCACACAGCAAACTAAGCACCAGCAAGAATAAAGGCCCAGCTTTTATAAAGACATAAACAGGAGCAGTGACCAGAAGAGCTGTTTACACACAAATGTTTAGGCATTATGTGAATGCTCAGAAGGCCAATTTTTAAAAAAATAATTAATGTGATAAAGCCTTTTCCTACCCTAGGTGGGTGACAGCTAGGAGTCACTGCGTATCACTGGTATGACTAGGAGTCATGTGGTCCTGGGTCCACCTGCTGTAAGACATGCAGCTGAGGTCCAGGCTTCTCATGAGGAAGCCCGTACATGTAGCCCGAGCTCAGAGCAGGCTTGGGCCTTTCCCTGACTACCTGCACCTCTGCAGTCTGTTTCCTCCACTCCTCAGTTGGTGCACTCACTGGGCTCTCTGTGTGGATTAGGTGGCAAAGAAGTGTCTCTGTGGTTTATGTTCCCACCTCCTGGGCTCACTCAGCCAGAACACCAGCAGTCCCTTGTTTGTTTCTGTATGTTTGTTCACAACATGCCTTATTCAGAAGCATGGGCCCTGGACCATTTATCATCCCAACCTCCCAGCCTCTTTGTGACATCCCCACCATACAAATGAGGCTGCTAAGACTCAAAGAGCTGAAGTGACTTGTGCAGGTCACGTAGTAAGAACTGCAAAGCTATTCATGGAGCCTTGGTCAACCAGGGCTTCCCTTGCCTCACCACGTGCCCAGTGCAACAACAGCCAGAGCTTGAGCCCTGTTTCTCCTTAGTTTCCTTCCTGAAAGATCGCTGAGGCCCTGGGAATCCAGAGCCCAAGCTCATGTTTTTCTTCATAGAGACCACAGTCCTAATCTTGCTCTTGTCTCATCCCGGGTTGAGTCATTCTAATCCGGATGACCAGTCTGTCTCCGGGGTGAACTTCTCTGTATCTGAGATGTTAACCAGGCAACATCCTTGGTCTATTTCTTTCCAGGTAATTTCTTATGTGAAACACGCTTACTTTAAACAATAAATGCTTGTACGTTAATCTGTGTAAGCTGATTCCCAAGGACAGCTCAGGGAAGGAAGCACAGCCTAGGGAGCCAAAGGAGCTTTCTGTTCTGTTCTTTGCAGGACCTTCCCTGGGTCCACTGTCTTTCTTCTTTTTTGATCTTCTTCTCTCATATCCACCCATATTCTCTTGGATAAAAAATTCTGAGTGATACAGACTACAGACAGTGGTCAGAGCAGCACATAATTTTGTTACACTACTAGAATAGAGACCGCAAATGTCAGAGGGGTCACACAGGCAATATAAGTACATAAAACTAATCTATGAGAAATAATAACAGGAATATTTCAAACTGAGAGGTGGAGGAGCTCACATTTCCTTCAAAAGGAAAAATCACATGCTCCCCTCCTGATGATTGCCAGTAATAGTAACATCAGCCTTTGTGGCCAAATCTCACTGTGGTCCTGAAGGTCTAATACTAGACAGTTGGAACAAAATATGTTTGTGAGTTACATTTGGCCTGTCAGTCCTGTGGCATGCTGTATAGACTAAAAAAGAAGCATGATGTCAACTGTGCAAAATATTCTTTATGAAATCAAGGTAGTTGCTGGAGATACAAATATTAAACGTTCCTATGACAATTCACAAAGAAGATGAAAGAAAGATATGAATCCAGGGTACCAAAGTAGGAAGTCAAAAACAGGTAAGGAGGTCTCCAGAGACAGTGTGCTCAGCCATGCCCCGTTAACCCTTCCCAAGAAATTGCCCTTTTCAATAAACCACTTTTTATGGGTTTCCTTCTATGTAGTTTCCCACCATATCTAGTATTTTGAATGTTGGTTGCAAAACATAAATTTTTCTGAGTCATAAAACCAGAAGGATAATGAATATTAAAAGGTAAACCCAAACATAGGGAAATTTTAAAAATCTTTATATATTCATTCTTTCCAACAAAGCAAAACAAATTTTTGATACCATATGGGCGGTGTGAAAAGGGAGAGTCTTGGAAGCGTTCTTCATTAAGAATGTATGACAAAAAATTAATTGTACAAGTTGTGCTATATAATGAATATATCCCCTTTATATGTATGCAATGGGATAAATATTTTTATTTTGGTAATTCTAAAAATTATTCACATAACTATACTCAGTTTATCCAAGATATTTTTTTACTATAAAATATCCTGCCCCAATATATAGAATAATAACCCTCACATTTTCACAGACAGGGTCACTGTGCTCATGTTCATGAAAATCGTTGAATGATGAATGACACCACGAAATCAGTCACCAAGGAAAACTGACTCTTAAATGTGAACTCTCACCTTTATTGTATATAGCATTGGCTTTAATGCTCAATGATATCCTAGTAGTCCTAAAAACTTTAACTCAATTCATGAAGATAATAGTCTCCTGGTCCTGACCTTTATTCATATAAGGATTAGCACTTTCTAGAGTCCTAAGAGAAAATGGAAAAGAGGATAAATGGTAGAGACAAGATGAAGCCACATGAGTACCACCACGCCCAGCTTGGCCCTCGGCATTTTCATCTGTATGACCCTCAGTTAAATGCTGAACCCAATCTCAAACTCTAATTGGGGATTACATGTTGGTGCCTCTATCTCCTAATCCAACCCCCCCATACTGTTAATGTAAATGAAACAGTGTGCAAATTCTTTATGCAACCTTGACCCCAACACGCAATAAACCGTGTGTCCTAAAAACTTCCAACAGGCAGATGACAATGCAGGAGCTTAACCAGTCCACTGTGACAGAATTCATTCTATTGGGCTTCAGCTCCAACCCCAGGACCAATCCTCTGCTCTTCACCTTCTTTTTAGTCTTTTATATGCTGATCCTTGTGAGCAACACCCTCCTCATCACGCTCATCCTCCAGGACTCGCGCCTCCACACACCCATGTACTTTTTCATCAGTGTCCTCTCCCTGCTGGATGTGTGCTACACCACCACCACGGTGCCACAGATGCTTGTGCATATTCTCAGCAAAAGGAGGGCCATCTCTTTTGCTAGGTGTGTGGCCCAGATGTACATCTTCCTCCTCTTTGGGGTCACCGAGTCCTGGCTTTTCTCCATCATGTCCGTGGACAGGTATGTGGCCATCTGCCACCCTCTCAGATACAAGGTCATCATGAGCCAAGGGATGTGTCTCTTCATGGTGGGTGTCTGTGCAGCTTATGGTGTGGTTGGTGGCCTGTGCTATACTTTCTTTGCTATGCATTTGCCCTACTGCGGTCCTAATGAAATCGACCACTACTTCTGTGAGGTTCCTGCCGTTCTGAAGCTGGCTTGTGCAGACACATCCCTCAATGACCTGGTGGACTTCATCACAGGCTTCAATGTCATTGTGGTTCCTCTCTCCCTGATTGTCATTGTCTATGCCGGCATCTTTGCCACCATTGTGAAGATCCGCTCAGCCCAAGGCCGGATCAAGGCCTTCTCCACCTGTGCCTCCCACATCACTGTGGTCACCATGTTCGCCATTCCTTGCATCATCATGTACATGAGCCCTGGCTCAGGCTCCTTATCAAATAGTGGCAAGAAAATGGCCCTTTTCTATAACATTGCCACAGCCTTCCTCAACCCCGTCATCTACAGTCTAAGGAACAAAGATGTGAAACAAGCTCTCCTCAAATTGATGGGTTGGAGCAGAGTTCCAGAGTGAATCTTTAAAGCTAAGGTCTTGAGGGGCTGAAGAAAGCAGGACTTGCAGTCACCGACTCCACAATAACTCTTCCATGGGCAGGAAGATCTGGACTCTGTAAAGATAATTTCTTACCCTGGACCATGGTGGAGTGGAGTAGGGTGCTGAGACTTCGGCAGTTTATTTGAGGCAGAGGTGATGGTGAAGGTATTGTTAAGAGCCTGTACTTCAGTGACAGGCAGACAAGGATTACAGGAGTGCGCCACCGCACCCAGCTCTCAATATAGTTTTGATTTGCATTTTTCTAATGGCTAAAGATGATGGCTAAAAATGTTTAATATTTTTTCATATACTTATTGGCCATTTGTACTTCTTCTTTTGAGAAACATCTGTTCAACTCATTTGACCATTTATTGGGCTATTTGATTTTTTAGTTTTAAGCTTTTGAGTTTTTATGTATTTTAGATATTAATCCTCTGTCAGAGGAGTAGCTGATAAAGGTTTGCTTCCATCCTGTATGCTGTCTCTTCACTCTATTTGTTGTTTCCCTTGCTGTGCAGAGACCTTTAAATTTGATGTAGTTGCATTTGTTTGTTCTTGCTATTATTTTATGCACTATTGGAATCCTCTTTGGGAAGTTTTTGCCTGTACCTTACCTATGATGTTAAGTATTTTCCCTCTTTTTTTCTTTTAGCAGTTTCAAAATTTTGAGTCTTATGCCTAGGTCTTTGATTCATTATTAATTCCAGTGTACAGGGTGAAGGACAGTGATCTAATTTCAGTCTTCTACAAGTGGATATCCAATTTTTCCTGCACCATTTGTTAAAGAAGCTGTCTTTTCTCCAATGTATATTTTTGGTGTCTTTTTCTAAAATCAGAGCCAGAGTTACATGATTTTGTTTCTTTTTCCTCTATTCTGTTCCATTGCTCTCTATGTTTATTTTTATGTATCATGCTGTGTTTGTAATTATCATTTTGTAGTATATTTTGAAACTGAATATTATGATGCTTTCAGCTTTGTTTCTTTTGCTTAGGATTGTTCTGACTATTCTGGGTCTTTTGTGTTTCCATATAAATTTTGGAGTTTTTTTTCTAGCTCCACAAGGAATGTCATTTGTACTTTGATGGGATTGCATTGATTCTGTAGCTCTATAGACAACTTTTAGTAATGTGGTAAAAGTAATTACTAAATTACTTTTAGTAAAAGTAATTACTAAATTACTTTTAGTAATGTTAAATTAATCTTTAGCAAGATTAATTCTTCCTATCCATGAACATGGAACAGGGGAGGGGACATTCCTTTCCATCCTCTAGTGTCCTCTTTAACTTTTTCTTCATACTCCTGAGATGTTCATTTAGAAATCTTTCACTTTCTTGGTTAGATTGACCCTTGGACATTTTACTTTTTGAATCCATTGTGAATAGAATTATTTTCCTGATTTCTTTCTCAGATTCTCTATTATTGGAGTATAAAAAGGCTGTTGAGTTTATTTACTACTACTGTGCCAAATAAATTTGTCAGCTCAAAATTCTTTGGGTGTAGTCTTTAGGTCTCCCTAGTATAGAATCATACCATCTGCAAACAAAGATAATTTGACTATTCTTTTCCTACTTGTATCCCTTTTAATTTCTTTCTCTTGCCTAATTGCTTTAGCTAAAGTTTCAAGAACTCTCTATGAAAAGCAACAGCCAACATCATATTAAAGGCCAAAAACTGAAAACCTTCACGTTAAAATCAGGAACAAGACAAGGATGCCCACTATCACCACTTCTCTTTGATATAGTTCTGGAAACATTAACCATAGCAATTAGACAAGAGAAAGAAATTAAAGCAATAAAGATAGGAAAGGAAGAGTTAAACTGTCATTATTTGCTGATGATATGATACTCTACATTGAAGACCCAAAAAACTCCACCAAAAGACTTCTCAACTTAATAGACACTTTTAGCAGAGTAGCTGGATACAAGGTCAACACCCAAAAATCAATAGCCTTCTTGTACATAAATAACAGACTCATTGAGAAAGAAATTAGGGAAACAAATCCTTTCACACTAGCACCCAAAAAGATGAAGTATCTGGGAATCAATCTAACAAAAGAAGCAAAAGACCTCTACACTGAAAACTACAGCACTCTGAAAAAAGAGATCGAGAAGGATATAAGAAAATGGAAAGATGTCCCCTGCTCCTGGGTAGGAAGAATCAACATAGTGAAAATGGCCATACTACCAAAACTGCTATACAGATTCAATGCAATACCAATTGAAATCCTAACACTATACTTCACAGAACTAGAAAGAAGAATCCAAAAATTCATTTGGAACCATAAGAGACCTAGAATAGCAAAAGCAATCCTAGGCAATAGACACATGGCAGTGGGTATAACAATTCCCAATTTGAAACTATACTACAAAGCCACTGTGATAAAAACAGCATGGTACTGGCAAAGAAGCAGACTTGAGGATCAGTGGAACAGATTGGAAGACACAAAAATAACTCCAGATGCACTCAGCTACCTCATCTTTGACAAAGGACCTGACAGTCCTCACTGGAAGAAAGATAGCCTCTTTAATAAATGGTCTTGGAAAAAAGTGGATTTCAACCTGCAAAAGATTAAAACTAGACCATTATGTCTCACCATGCACTAAATTAAAATCCAAGTGGATTAAAGATCTAAACATAAAAACAAAAACACTAAACTTGCTGGAAGATAAGTTAGGCAGAACTCTGGAAGACATTGGCATAGGAAAAGATTTTATGAACAAATCCTCAGTAGCACAGGAACTAGCAGAAAGAATCAACAACTGGGATCTCATCTTATTAAAAAGCTTCTGCACTGCAAAAGAAACCATCAACAGAACTGAGACAACCTACAATGTGGGAAAAACTTTTTACCAGCTGCTCCTCAGACAAAGGACTATTATCTAGAATATATAAAGAACTCAAAACAACCAGCCCCCACAAATATAAAGACCCAATCCAAAAATGGGCATCTGAAATGAACAGACATTTCTCAGACAAAGAAATAAAAGCAGCAAATAAATACATGAAAAAATGTTCCACATCACTGGTCATTCGAGAGATGCAGATGAAAACAACACTGAGATTTCACCTCACCCCACAAAGAATGGCAGCTATCAAGAAATCACACAATAACAAATGTTGGTGGGGTTGTGGGGAGAAAGGAACCCTTCTCCATTGTTGGTGGGAGTGCAGACTGATGCAACCATTATGGAAGTCAATATGAAGATACCTCAAAGAACTAGGATTAGAGGTTCCATTTGACCCAACCATCCCTCTACTGAGTATCTTTCCAAAAGAATTAGAAGAATCATATCGCAGTGATATATGTGCACCCATGTTTATAGCGGCACAGTCTGTCATAGCTAAAACTTGGAAACAGCCCATTTGCCCATCAATTGGAGACTGGATAAAGAAGATGTGGTTTTTCTATAAATGGAATACTACTCAGCCATAAAGAATGAAAAAGTAGATTCATTCATAGGTAAATGGGTACATTTTGAGGATATACTCCTAAGTGAAATAAGTCACACATATGCAAATACCGAATAGTTTCTCTGGTGTGAAAAACTAAAATAGTACTCAAGATCCTAAAAGAACAATTAGCAACATGAAATAGGAAGAAAAGGACCAAAGGTGTAGGGACAGTGAGAAGGATAGGGAAAGGGGAATAAGGGAAAATGAAAAAAATATGAGAAAATGTAAAAATGGAATTAAAGTGTTTGAAGGTGGGTAAAGGAGAAGCGGGTGAAGAGAGGGTGGGGACAAAGGGAAAAAATGAGAACCAAGACCTAGCATGTAAAGGTACAAGATCCCAGTAATGAATGTAACTGTACTGTCTACCTAGAATATACCAATAAATTCAATTTAAATTTAAAAAATATTATGGTTTAAAAAAAAAGAACTATATTGAACAGGAGAGGTGAGAGTGGATGTCCTTGCCTTCCTCATTCCTGATTTTAGAGGAAATGCTTTCAGTTTTTTCCCATTCAGAATGATGTTATTTGTGAATTTGTCATGTAAGGTGTGATCAGAAAGTATGGTGAATGTTTAAATTTTAAAAATTATTACAGCGAAGACACAGCGCCATTAACTCCCTTCAGAACACCCCACACACACTTTGAACTCACTCATCCTGTATTTCTTGCCACTTTCTGAAGCAGATCTGGAAGTCTTCTTTCATGAGCGTCTTTAAGAGGTCTCACCAAAACTAGAGTGAATGCTAATCCTGAGTGCCATCCAATGGAAAAGGCAAGCTCCTAAAAACATCACTGCGTATTCCCTTATCCACCTTATTCACCAGATCTGGAATCATGTGACTTTTGGCTCTTCCTCAAGGTCCCAATAACCATGAAAGGTAAGCATTGTTAATCAGTTCAGGACAGTGAATCAGCCATGAAAGAGGACTTCCAGAATTGCGTCAAAAAGCTGTAACAAAAACAACAACAAAATTGTAACAATGATAAATGTGTTTGAAGTGAAAGGGATTTTTTTTTGAAGAAAATTAATGGCAATGTGCCTTTTAATGCAATAATTATTTTTAGTTTACATATTTACTGTATATTTCAATCACAGTGAATATATGGCCTTTGCTATATTGAGATATTGTCCTTCAAAACTTGAAGCTATTGGCCGGGCGTGGTGGTGCATGCCTGTAATCCTGGCACTCGGGAGGCTGAGGCAGGAGGATTGCTGTGATTTCGAGACCAGCCTGGGCTACATAGTGAGTTCCCGGTCAGTCTCAAGTACATAGTGAGACCCTGTCTCGAAAAACAAAAACAAAACAAACAAACAAAACTTGAAGATATTTTGTTTCAGAACCTTTATCATGAAGAGATGTTGAATTATGTTGAAGGTTTTTTCTGTGTCAATGGAGAGGATTCTGTGGTTTATATTGATTCTATTTATGTGGTATATTATGTTTATTGATTTATATATATTTAATTGTCCTAGGGCTGGGGATTTAGCTCAGTTGTGCCACCGCCTGCCTCACAAGCGCAAGGACCCAAGTTTGATGCCCAGTTAAAAAAAAAAAATTATTCTTACATCCCTGGGGGGGGGAACAATTTATGATGGATGCTCTTTTTAATGTGCTGTGTGTAAATGAGTTTTTAAAAGTATTTTAATAAGTATTTTTATTGAAAACTTTTTATTACTGCATATTTGCAATTCATGCAGTTTATAGTCTTCTTTGGTAATGTACACATCACAGCTTGTTTC